CATCGGCCGTGAAATGGAAAGCTATTGGAGAGAAGCATGATGATTAGTAAGACCATACGTGACATGACTAGGAGGGTTTACGAAAAGGGAGGTCACGAATGGGAGAAGGGCAATAGAGTGAAACGCACAGTGCAATCGACCGAAGCCTTTCTGGCTCCAAAAAGAACACCAGAGAGGGTTCGCTTCGGCAAAGTCTCCCAGCCTTCTGGATCAAGAGAAGGGCCGAGGATGGGGTGGTGGCCTTGATAGGCGGACTCGAGTCGACGCGATGGTCGTGGTGCGCGTGCTCTCGGTAGATACACAAAAGACGTAGTCAACCTAAAAATATCACCATCAATATCAATGTTTCCAAAAGGGAGTAAAAGTGTGAGTCATTACGTACGTGTTGTCTACTCTGAGCGGGCCCCTTTGGACGAGGACCTGGATCCTGTAGTCGATAAACGTCGGAACGCCTTTGGGCGCAAAGGAGGGGGGCAAGGGGACCGTAACGGGTTGACTGTTGGGGTTATTGTTGAGGATGACTTGGGTCGGGAGAGGGATGGCAAAAGGCCAAGCATAAGAGCCGGACAGTCTACCCGTAAAAGGCGAGTGCCGAGCCGATGGCACGAGCGTGGCTTGGCTGTCGAGTGGCATTGCGTTTGTGCTAGAGGTTTCGTTGGGATGGCCCATGGAGGCGGACCATAATGTTTGGGAGAGTTCCAAAAAGGGCAATTGATCTGCTCCTACGGACATGAGATATCCCCTCACCTGCAACACAAGACCACAAATGTTAGCATAAAGAAATTAACAAGATAGGGAAATGGTCGATGAGAAATGTCGAATATAGAAAAGTTGGACGAGTGATGGGTACGGGGTGGCAACTCACAAAGACGACGATGCCGACAATGGTCGATGGGTTATCGACTAGATTCAGATGCACGGAGCCTTCTACGACATCCTTGTCAAAGTAGAGCGGGTGGGTGCGTGACGGGCTCGCGTTGCTCTTGACGCGGAGGGTGAGCCACGGCGAGCCTCCCGCAGTGAGATGGAACGCTTGTTCGTCTCTGGATGATGGACTGGAAGCTCTTGAACCAGATGCCGAGGGTGTCGACGTGCCAGAACGGCTGGTCCGACCGCCACCACCTCCACTACCACCACCACTAGTGCCACTGGTACTGGTAATATTGTGACCTCCACCGCTGCTGCTGGTGTGACTTGCGCTGTGTCGGTTGTTTGTGCTGGAGGAGGTGGTTGTTGGGGTGGTGTGGCCTGCACTTTGGGATCGCCGGGCTGACGCGGGACCTTTGCTGGACGTTCTCCGAGACGAGATGGATGCGAGAATGTGGTTTGGCATCGAGTCGTGCAACATTAGCACGGGGAGTGGGAGGGGGGAAAAGAGGGAGAGAAAGAAGGATTATTTATGCGGAGAATAGTCAGAGGCAGCGTCCAAAGAGAGACCTCGTAGAGAAAGGGGAAGACGGACCGCGATGATTGGCAGCGGGTATTTATAATAAAATTATTAAATGTTGTCCATGTGGATTTGGGCACATGCGTTGGAGTGACGCTTTTGGGCTGCAAAATAACTCTAAATTCGGCCGAACTATGGCATCAGATATATTATTAATAATTTTGGGTTAATTTTTACCGTGCACCATATGGTCCATGTGCGTCTCCCGTAGCCGGCATCTCAACCCAACACACTCCCACTTCGACCGGCTCTCGCCCCCTCCATTTCCGCCAAAAAATGACATCTCTCTTTGGGAGGTGAGTACAAGTGATAGTTGTATCCTGGACACTGTTTTGACGAGGAATATGCTCGCTGCAGCGCACCATTTGGGGCTCAACAACAGCCGAATCCAAGTCCATTCGGAACCAAGCCATCTGCTCCATTTGGACCAGCGCTTGCCACGAGCACTACAACTGCTCAACCATCTCCCTTCTCCTGGGGATCCGCATCCACAACCGCCGTCCCATCAGCCACACCCGCCACCACACAAGCTGCTCCAGCAGCAGCAGCAGCAGCCTCAACATCTGCACAAACTGTAGCTCCTACAGCAGCAACTCCTACTCCTCCAACTCTCAACGTACCATCGACAACAGCCACATCCATCAGTGGGCTGAGCACGTCGTACCTCTTTCAAAAACCTGCTGCGACGACAGCACCCACCCAGCCTGCTGCGTCAGTCTCTTCTCATCATCTTTTCACGTCTTTTTTTAACCTTTGTCGACCGCATGCAGAGCCGCAGCCCCAAATGCTCCCTTCGTTCTCAATGGTGCCGCCAAATTCAACGACTTGCCCACCCCAATCCAGGATCTTCTTAATGACACCGAGTGAGCTCGACTTTCTCAAGGAAATATTCACTTGTAGTTGATCGCCCCTACAGGGCTCTGATTCAGGGAGGCTTGAATGCGTCCAAGGATCTCAAAGGCCGCAAACTAGGCGACGCGATCGTCACCAACACGGCTACCTCGCGGCAGATATTCCATGTACGTTCGAGTTTATCGCTTCACCGGATCTACGATCACATCCCCGCCACACACACACACACACACACCTCGAGATAATATTTCCATCCTTTCCGCGTCCCGATCTTTCCGAGTCTTCTCACCAACGTTTTTGACGTCAAATTTTTTTTATTCCCATTTCATGACACGTGTTTTGTCTGACTCGTCTCTTTCTTTCGTCATGCTTTCGTAACTGTTCATTGCCTCTTTTTCTCACTCGACTATCAGGACTTGACTTCCAGCTCAAACACGTTGCAAGCCGATGACCTCTTCGCTAAAAATCTCCGAGAAAAAGTCGACCAGGCTGTCCAGGATGTGATCGTGTGCTCCCAGATCATCGAGGGCTTTAGGGAAAGCGGCATTCAACACCCAAACCTAAAAACAAACGCGCAATACCCATTGGAGTATGCCACTCATATCGCAATTCATTTCTGATTCCTCCGTGCTCATCGGTTTTCCTAGGTTCTTTCACCGTTTGGCGGACCAGATGCAAGAGCGCTTAGCCAGGTACAAGGCTATCGTCGACGTACGTGTCGTTTCTTTCCCCCTCCTTGTCAGTTTACCGTCCCCGGGTGTGAACCCTTGCGGTGATTGCGAGTTTTGTGTTGATGTGCTTACTCATCCCACTATTTTCGGATGCTCTCCGCGACCCTGCCGGATTCTGGACTGGACCGACTTATCGCCAACCCCAATTACCGGTGATTTGTATCGACTTATCTCTCTGTTGTTTTATAATGTAACAGCAACTGGAACG